ACGTATATTACTTGCAGCTTATGAGTCATAGTTGATCACACACACACACACACACACACACACACAGCTAATTTTGTTAGATGTTCTAACATCTAACGTCTAACATCTAATGGCCAAAACATAAATGTAGCATTTATTAGTCTTCCAACTTGTTAAATACTGAGTGGAGTCTTGACCTTCTCGTTGATGAAGAAACACTGAGTGAAATCACAGGAACACTTAATAATGTTATTTCCCAACTTCTCTCCCTTCTTCACCTGTTGGGCTACAGAATTTAGAGACAGGAAGGACAGCCAGTTCCTACTACATATTTGGCAAACGTTCTTTGTTTTCCTTATCTATGAGGAAGGAAGCTGGGAGAAGACAAATAAATCTGGAATGGAAGTTTTGTAATAAAAAGACAAGACTAATATTGTTGCAGGTCTTTAAAAATATTCTCTACGATATACTAAAACATTTGAGGTGCAAGGCTCATCTCTGAAGAATTAGAGTGTGTAGTCTGTAAAAGAGCTCAGAGTACAGTACATTAATATATATATTACATATTGTCAAAAAGTTCCATAAAAGTTTAGAGGAGGGAAAGGGCAATGTGGGTTTGAGGGGCCAGTGAAGTGTCCCATGAGCCGGTCCTTGAAGCATAGGTAGGTATCAGGTTGAGAGTGGGATGGTAGGAATTCCATGCAGGAAAGACAAGGCCAGAGAAAGAGATATGGCACTTTTAGGAACCGTGAGCAGATAAGACTGTACAGGTTGGGAGGAAAATGGGACACTGAGGCTGGATTAGTTCATGGTGGTTACTGAATACCACGTAAGAAAATATGGCCTTAATTGTGCAGGTAGCTAAGAGTCTTTGAAGGATTCTGAGCATGAATCTGCCATATTCAGGGAATTTGATCTTATGAGGCCATGGGGAGAAGGTGAGACAAGAGTACTCTGCAGGATCCTGGGTTGAGGTGATGAGAGTCCAGGCTAAGGAGTCAACAGTAAGAATAGAAAGAAATTATGATATTTGGAGAAAATAATCAATAGAACTTTTTAACCTTTTGAATGAGAGAGAGGTAAAGTGGAAAGGAATGGCTTTGACCTTAGGTCAATAACAGAATGATTATCCCAATAGCAAACTGTTCACACATATTGATTTAAGGTGGCAGTGGTACATTTAAGTAGAAATGCCCAACTGATTAATTAGTAATCTAGGGCTAGAACATGGGAAGGAGAGACAAATAAAGTACACTAAGGCATCGCTGTATTCTCAGCTATGTGCTAGATCAGGGGTCCTCAAACTTTTTAAACAGGGGGCCAGTTCACTGTCCCTCAGACCATTGGAGGGCCGGACTATAGTTTAAAAAAAAAACTATGAACAAATTCCTATGCACACTGCACGTATCTTATTTTGAAGTAAAAAAAACAAAATGGGAACAAATACAATATTTGTATTTGCATGTGGCCCATGGGCTGTAGTTTGAGGACCCCTGTGCTAGATCCTTTACCTGTATGTTCAATTTAGGAGAGAAATAGGGATGTATTTTGCAATTTGGCACCATCTGCCAAATTGCCAGTCAAATCAGGAGAATGGTAACATTCAATGAAGACTAATTCATCACAATTTCTCTATGTCCCTTCACTATGAAAACAGTCATCACACAAAAACAAATGCCTATAAAAACACTATCATATCACATCACAAGATCACTGAAAATCCTGATTTCCACAAGTCAATATTGCATTCTAGGAAGTAATTGAGATAGGAGGGGAAAAACAGAACTGTAATTGTTCTTTCTTTCCTTCTTTCCCTTGAGAAAGATGAAAAGACACAAAACAGGAGGCAGGAAGGAACCAGAGGAGAAAGTATCTGGGAGAGTTCCCACTTGCTGAGGTAAACAGGAATGAAAGCAAACTCTTTCCTTATACAATAATAAACATTTGAGCACTGTCTCCTAGTTTCCTAGAATTCATTATCCGTTTATGAGTAGACTAGAGGCCTGGTGCATGAAAATTCATGCACTGTAGGGGGAGGTCCCTCAGCCCGGCCTGCCCCCTTCTCACAGTCCGGGAGCCCTCAGGAGCGGGAGGCAACCCGGCAATCAGGGGAGGGTGATGCCCCCATCACACCTTTGCTGCTGCCACTGCCGGCAGTGCAAGCCTCGGCCAGCGCTGGTTACCTGAGCCTCGGGTGGCCCTGGGTGGTTGGGCATCCTCCATCTGAGGCTTGCCTGCACCTCATACAGGCCCTGCGTGGCTGAGGGGCCTGAGGGACTCTGGAGGCAGGCGCCCTGGTGGGGCTGAGGGAACTGGGAGCTGCCATCTTTGAGGGCATGGCAGTCAATTAGCATATTCCCTCCTTATTGGCTGTGGGCACCGCAATCTTTGAGGGCGTAGAAGTCAAATAACATATTCTCTCCTTATTGGCTGTGAGTGCTGCCATCTTTGAGGGCAGGGCAGTCAATTAGCATATTCCCTCCTTTTTGGCTATGGGCACTGCCATCTTTTGTGACAGCGTGAGGGTCAATTAGCATATTCCCTCTTTATTAGATAGGATTACTTTATTCCCATTGTACACCTTTCCATGCACAGGCCAGCTGGGAGTCACACATTCCACCTTCAAACTCCCTCTGGCAGACCAGTCTCAGTTTTTCTTTGTTTTGCAAGCTAGTCCTGGAGCTCAGGTGCAACAGGCAGATCAACAATGATGACAGATGTTTCTATGGCAGTCATCAGTTTTCCATTTACCACAATGCTCCAGGGTGAGCTGGGTCTATCCCTTCTTTCCTCCAGCTGCCAGAAAGGCCATACTGCTAAAAATGTCTCTCCATTTAAATGCCCAAGGCACGAGGAAAATGGAGAAGCCATAACAAGAAAGGATGGAGGAGCAGGTGACAGGTAGACTAAAATGGATAAATATAGAAAACATCTTCTCAACATGCAGTGGTTATTTAATATAAATATGTTTTCATTCATGGTACTCTTAATTTCCTTTACAAATGCAATGCAATAAACATTATAACTGTGTGTAATCACAGATTTACTTAATAGTATAACTGTTTCTAATAAATAGAATGTAGATCTCCTCTTTGAACTCTATAACAAAGGACAGCAATGTCAAAATTCCCTAAGATCCATAGTAGAGTATCTGTTTAGAATCTGCAAAAGATATAAACATAAGGAATCCCTGATTCTTATAGATTTTCCTGGAATCTCTTGCTGAAGTGGGAGAGGGAGAGCTGGGAGGGTTTGTAGACTGAATGTTCTCCAAGGAACAAGTCCAGAAGTGAATTCAGCCCTAGCCAGTTTGGCTCAGTGGATAGAGCGTCGGCCTGCTGACTGAAGGGTCCCGGGTTCCATTCTGGTCAAGGGCACATGCTCGGGTTGTGGGCTCGATCCCCAGTATTTAATAATTAGGGTACTCCTTAATTAGGATACTCCTAAGGCTTAGGAAGAGCCACACTCAAGGGGTCAAAGAGCCGCATGTGGCTCTCGAGCCGCAGTTCGCCGACCACGGCTCTAGGTCAACCAAGATCTAACACTTACTGCTTGTTCACTACGTGCCTGGTACTTTCTAAATGCTTTCTGGGTATTATCTCATTTAATTTTCCCCAAATATTTTTTTTAATTTAAATTCTTCATTGCTTAAAGTATTACATATGTCTCTTTTTTCCCCTGTGGACCTCTCCCCAGCTGCTCCCACCCCCACAGCACATGCCCTCACACCCCTACTGTCTGTGTCCATTGGTTATGCTTACATGCATGCATACAAGTCCTTTGGTTTATCTCTTAACCAACCCCAAACCAACCCTCCCCTGCCTTCCCTCTAAGGTTGGAGGTCTGTTCGATGCTTCTCTGTTTCTGGATCTATTTTTGTTCATCAGTTTATGTTGTTCATTATATTCCACAAATGAGTGAGATCATGTGATATTTATCTTTCTCTGACTGGCTTATTTCACTCAGCATAATGCTCAGGTTCATCATGCATGCATATAAGCCTAACCAATGGACACAGACAATAAGGGGATGAGGGCATGGGATTCCATTGTGTAGATGTACCACCATTTCTTAATCCACTCATCTGCTGATGGGCACTTAGGCTGTTTCCAAATGTTAGCTATTGTAAATTGTGCTGCTGTGAACATAGGGGTGCATATATCCTTTCTGATTGGTGTCAGGCAATATATTTTGAACACATAAAATAGGAGGGGAAAACCCTTGTAAGAATGTTTACTAATCGAATGTCCTCCTAAAGAAAAGATTCTATAAAAAGTTAACAACACTGGCTTACTGTGAACTCCCAGTTACATAACAAAAATCCTATCACAGATAATATTATCATGGTAACTAGTAATACAGAGACAAGGACTGGACAAAACAATCACCTGCTTGACAATGAAGACAATTCATATGACTAATCCCCACACTCTGACTGGAATAGCCACTGAGGTAGCAATGAATTAACTCCGCAAACAAAAATAACTTACCGAGTTGGCTCACTGGGATAATTAAGCAACAATAATTCACTTTCTCTGTTGACTTTAAACATTCTCTGAGTTTTTACTGCCCTTAATATCGTTGATACTACAATTTTATTTATAATCTAATTCTTGAATTTGTTACCAGATTCCATGAAACACCAAACAGAAGTTAGTGCTTTGCGACCAGTGAGAGTTATTGGAAGGAGACCCTTGTTTTTCTATCTCCACAGATGAAGAGAGGGAGAGCACAACATTCAAGGTTCAATAGCTGGCTCCTGCCTCGAGGTGCAGAATGGGAAAATTCTCCAGGGCTTTTAGCTACCCTTCCTGTGCTCTGCGCTCTAAGAAAGGATCCTAAATAACAGAAAAGCAAGAGCAGGATCCTCTATTCCAGATAGATCTACAGAAATCAGTGAGTTTTCCTGTGGAATAAAAATCTTCACAACAAAATTTCAGAATGAATTAGCAACCCCATCATATCCTAATGATACTGTGTTTGCATAAAATAACAAAATGCACTTTATATTCTTCTCTTACCTGTCTACTCTCTCTTTGGGAGGACGTTGAAGAGGAGGCACTTCTATGGGTTGGAGTAGATGTTTTATGAGCCGGAGATATGCCCTTCTCATCTGAACTCATAGCTGCGGTTGGAGTCTAGTCACGTGCACTTAAGGTCATCCCAATTGTGTCTCAAATTCAGACAAAGAAGTAGGTGAATTTTTAGCTTCAGTCCATTTCACGAATCAGGTTGGACTAGGAAAGAGAAGGTAAATATTGAAGGTGTCCAAAACATCTGAAAGCAAAACAAACAAATTATAACTCATGTAAATTTATATTTAGGAAAAATACTAAAATGTCAGTGAGAGGAAGAATTCTGACACATTAGGAAATATTTCTTCCTCTAGATTTTTAAGGTGGAGACTAAAAGTGTTAATATGTAACAAAAGTCTGTCCAAAAGGAAAGTGAGAAGAAACTATATGCTAAAGTCACACTTTTCTCTTGTAGTCTTTGTTTTATTTATTTATTTATTTATTTATTTAAAATATATTTTTATTGATTTCAGACAGGAACAGGGAGGGAGAGAGAGAAACATCAATGGTGAGAGAGAATTATCGATTAGCCACCTCCTGCACATGGGAATCTACCCACAACCTGGATATATGCCCTGACAGGGAATTGAACCATGACTTCCTGATTCATAGGTCAATGCTCAATCACTGGGCCATGAAAGCCAGGCTGTAATCTCTTTGTTTTAAAGCAGAGCTATGCGCTGGGCCCTCATGTCCAAGTACATCAGTTTTTTCCCTCTGAAATTTAATTTCCCCTGCCCAATGGATTATAATAAGAGCTCATTCCATGCTTGTCTCCAGTTCAGTTATTTCATGTATGTGATGATTAAATCCAACATAAGACAGTCAGTCACAAAAGGCAAAAGGGCTCCTGTTTTTTGTGTATCATGTGATCCAGCCATTAGAAAGGATGAAGTAATACATATATCCACGGTTATTTGTGCCCAAGTCTACAGCACACCTATATATGACTTTCTCAACACAACAATCAACAGGATTGAATGCATCCACAGGTTGACAGGCAGGTCCCAGAACTGGGGTAGTGCTAGGAGTTGCTTCACTTATCCACAGCCAAGGACCACTTCATTTTTCATTTAGATTCATATAAGGAAAATCTGCATTGTAGTACTAGGGCTAAAAACGGTTCAACTGGCAACAGAGGTTGCTAAAAGAAGTCATTTTAAAGGTAATCATGACAGTGTGAGATGAAACGCTAACACACCAACCTGTGACTCAAAACACTGACCACTAAAATGAACTTCATCCTCTTCTAAGAGGATGAAAGGCCAAGTTCTAGCCCCTATCTTAATGCTTATACTCCTTGAAAGTACTCACCCAAGTTTTTTGGAGCTAACAGAAATGCAAAGAGCTGCAGAGCTCTTTCCTAGTTTTGGAGCTAATAGAAATGTAAAGAGCTTATTCTTGGCTCAAGATAAGTTTCATTTGGTATTGGCAAAAGGTAGTCATAAATTGACACTTAAATAATCATCTAATCCTTTTTTTAATGAAAGCAGTCTAATAAGTGTGACTAAAATTTCTCAAGCCAAGCTCTGCTGCCAGCAACCAGAAAGCAAGAACACTGCTCAGATCCTTAATTTTAAGCACTTCACTTTCTGGTCCAAGATGTTTTACAAGTAAACGCTGACACTTGAGCTGAAAGTATGGAGGTTCTGTGATGTACTCAAGTGCCCCCAAGGGATGAGGTTGAGACAACCAAACTCATTAAGTTGTTATCCATTTGGAAGTAAATTCAATCTAAGCTACATCAAGGGCCAACATTTCCTCTGTGGCACTGTTGTTTTTTCTTAACCACATCCGACTTCACTTTCTGATTAACAATAATGCTAACATCTTGGTTTTTGTTTTAACTAAAAATGACATTTTCAGGGTAAGTTGTCTATGATGAAAGAGCAACATTTTGGTTGAATCATAGGTATGAATATCTATAATATCAAGAATGAAGAAAAGGTGGAAGAAGTTAATCCATTCCAAGAATCGTTTTTGAGATTGTTGTTTTTTCTATTAATTTTTATTTTTTAAAAAAAGATTTCAAGTACCTAATAAAAGGTTGAATGGGATCAAAATGCATTACAAGAGAAAGTATGAACTCTGTTATCAGGTTGCATCTACTTATTCTTTATTCTTAGAGTGTAAGAATGGCTGTGACATTTTAAAAAATAGTTATTTCATCTCTATCAAAGCACATTTTCAGGAATTGCCTATTCTACACCAAAAAGAGACCATAGATTTAAAGTCAACACCAACATAATTTTTATACTCAATGAGAAAAGTATTGTAGCTGGAAATAACATCATTATGAAAGATGAATATCTAATTTTTCTGTCTCATCACTCCTTCTTATCAATGGGATCATTATAATGGTTTCTAGGTACTGTACCATTTGCATTTACACTAAGTAACATAAAATTCTGATTTAGGGCCCTGGTCAGTGTGGCTCAGTTGGTTGGAACATTGTCCCATATATTGAAGGGTTGTGGGCTCGATTACCACTTAGGCACATACTTACATTGCAGTTTCAGTCCCAGGTCGGGGCACATATGGAAGGCAACAAGTCGATGTTCTCTCTCACATTGATGTTTCTCTCTCTCTCCCTCTTTTTCTAAAAATCAATAAGTATATCCTCAGATGAGGATTAAAAAAATTCAGATTTATGACCCAGGGACCTAACTAAATCAAAGGGTGGCAGAAAAGACTTCTAGAACTTGCTCTTCATAGGCACCATAACTTGTATGTGTTCAGAAACACATTTGAGACTGGGGACTAGTTAGCCTGAGCTAAGTTGTGATGTGGTAGCACAACTGCAAAATCTCAAGTCTTTACAAGAAAGGTTTATTTCTTACTCATTTACAAGTCCTTTATAGGTCAGCTGCAGCCATGCTCTGTATCCTCTTCATCCAGGCTGAAGGAGCAACCCTCACGTGAAGGGGGAAGGAGCCATGGCAGAACCATGAGATAGTTCTGAATGCCTTTGCTTGAGGTGGCACATGTTACTTTCACTCACATTTTATTGGCCAAAGCAAGTCATGTGGCCAAACTGAGGTCAATGATGCATAAAAGTATAATCCCCCCAAAGGGAGAGGCAGTGAAGAGTAGTGAACAAAAACATAATCTACTATATTTACCATAGAAAGATTAAAAGTATGGATGAAAATATTTAAATTGACTCGTTTTATCACATAGTAATAACAATGGTTAACATTTTGATTCTGCTTTAACCACAGTAGGAGAATAAAGTGCATATTACCTATAATATGCTTTCTTTTATCAACAATATATCGGTAACAGTCTTCCTTATGAACAAAGAAACTTCAATATCACCACTCTTAATCACTACATATTAGGCCACCACACAGATATACCACAATACATTTAACCTTTCTTGTACTGGGACATTTAGGTTGTATTCAGTATATTTTGAAACAATGAGATTTATCATGGAAGAGTTTGTAATAATTCCATATTCACTTTCTGATTATTGTAAAAACAAGTTTCTTTGTTGATTTCAATACTTTTTTGCTTTATTTGGTATTATCTGCTCTGTTTTCAAGTGATAAATGAAATGTGTCCATTCTTTTATATTTAAACTTTCTATATCTTTCTGTTCGTCTAGTAATGATCATGTTGGATTACTTTTTAAAAAATCTAATTTTAGTGAAGTTTTTCCCATTTCCATTTAATGTCATAACTAATAGTTGACCCCTGGATATGATTTTATACTTCTTACTTTTGGGTTCTTCTCTGTTCCTTTAAAGCAGGATATCTTTTTAAATAATCTGCCTTTCCTTATAATATTAATTTAATATGGTTCTAATCAACCTTTATATTTGCCATTATTTTGGAAGATACAATTTCCCTTTTAAAGTTCTACTTGTTTTCCTTTAAGCTTTTCTAAGTCATAATGGAACCATCGGTCTGTAAGTGTCTAAGTCAAGAGTAAAATGGTATCTTATGAGTCTTCCCCCATCCACTAACCCG